GAAACAAGATTCAAACTAGGCAAAGCCACGTGTTTGGCCAGGATTTTTAAAATCTTCCTCATCGTGCTGAAGCTTCCAGCTCCTAGGCAATAATACATGTTTCCCTTGTCAGATGCCCAAGAGTATGTCTCCTCTCTTGGGCATAAGAATTTCTCGAATTACTTATGAGTGCCAACAATGTGAGGTGAAGGGTGAACCTGGTTGGCATACTCATAATGACCGATAAGGATCTTACTTTAATCCATTCATTACATTGTGCCACTATTAACTTACAATAAATGCTGTATTTGCTTTCTAGACATAAATGAGATGCCTTACTAGACATAGTCCTAGAGGCCAGAGAAACCAGCTTCTAATCCATATGCAACAATCCACTGGTGCATTCTTTTCAGGTAGATTACAATTTATCTACAATATAATCTTTATAGAATTACATAAAATCTTTACATAGAATCTTACATATTTGGATCCTGCAAAGTAGACCAAAGACCACATCGGAGCTGCAAGGCTGAATTACGAATATGGGATGATGCTATGCTGACGACTGCTGGTCCATGACCTCTGTCTTTTAAGATCAGAGCCCAGTGTGGTCTCTGATCAATTTATGAATCAAACAAAAGAAAACCTAATATTGGGCAGTGCTTGAATAAGTACAGCACCGTGCTAAGTACCTTAAGAACTACGAAAAATAAAAATTAATTTTAAGAAAATGGTAACACACACTCCTGAGTAAGAGCTCTGGGAGCAGTCAGGCTGGGTTCGACCCGGCTATGCCACTACCATCTCCATGACCCAAGGAGTGGTGTACATTGTAAATGTTGTTTTGGCAAATTCCCATAAAGAAAAGAAAATGCCAGACAGTGAGGGAGGTCACAGGAGGCAGCATCCGGTCAGGTCAGGGTCCAGTGTCTGCTCAGACACCTCAACGGCTTGGTGAGTGACACTGGTGGCCGGACTGCAGGCCTCGCAGGGCAGCAGGGCAGCAAGGCTGCAGGCTTTGCAGGGCATCAGTTCCACAGGCATCCAAGGGCTGCAGGGCTCTCAGGGCACCAGGGTAGAAGGCCTAGCAGGGCATCAGAGCTGCAGGCCTCACAGTGCAGCAGGGCAGCAGGCCTCACATGGCAGCAGGGAAGCAGGACTGTAGGCCTCCCAGGGCAGCAGGGCAACAGGCGTCTCAGGTCAGCAGGGCTGCAGGGCTCACAGGGCAGCATGTTTTCAGGCCTCTTGGGGCAGCAGGGCTGCAGGCATCGCAGGGCAGCAGGGTAGCAGGGCAACAGGCGTGTCAGGTTAGCAGCGCCGTAGGCCTCCCAGAGCAAAAGGCAGCAGGCCTCACATGGCAGCAGGGCAGCAGGTCTGAGGCATTGCAGGGCAGCAGAGCAGATGGCTTCTCAGGTCGGCAGGGCCTGCAGGCCTCGCAGGGCAGCAGGGTAGCAGGCCTCTCAGGGAAGCAGGGCTGCAGGGCTGCAGGCCTCGTGAGCAGCAGGACACCAGGCATCTCAGGGCAGCAAGGCTGCAGGCCTCGCAGGGCAGCCGAGCAGCAGGCCTCACATGGCAGCAGGGCAACAGGGTGCAGGCCTCGCAGGGCAGCAGGGCAGCAGGTGTCTCAGGTCAACAGCGCCGTAGGCCTCCCAGGGCAACAGGGCAGCAGGGCAGCAGGCTGCAGGCCTCGAAGGGCAGCAGGTCTACAGGCCTCACAGGGCAGGAGGAAAACAGGGCTGCAGCTTTACAGGGCAACAGGCCAGCAGGCCTCCCAGGGCTGCAGGGCTCGCAGGACAGCAGGGCAGCAGGCGTCTCTGGGCATCGGGGCTACAGGCCTCGCAGGGCAGCACGGCAACAGGCCTCCCATGGCAGCAGGACACGAGGCCTACAGGCCACTCAGGGCAACAGGGCTGCCGGTCTTGTAGGACAGTAGGGCAGAGGCCTCACACGGCAACAGGGCTGCATGCCTCACAGGGCAGCAGGCCAGCAGGCCTCTCTGGGCAACAGGGCTGTAGGCCTCACGGGGCAGCAGGGCAGCAGTCATCTTAGGTTAGGAGGGTAGCAGCCTCGCAAGGCAGCATGGCACCCGGCGTCTCAGGGCAACAGGGCTGCAGGCCTCACATGGCAGCAGGGCAACAGGGCTGCACGGCTCGGAGGGCAGCAGGGCAGCAGGCATCTCAGGGCAGTAGGCCTGCAGGCCTCGCAGGGCAGCAGGGCAGCAGGGCTGCAGGCTTTGCAGGGCAGCAGGCCAGCAGATCTTTCAGGGCAGCAGGGCTGCAGGCCTCAGATGGCAGCAGGGCAACAGGGCTGCTGGCAAAGAAGGGCAGCAGAGCAGCAGGTGTCTCAGGTCAGCAGGGCTGCAGGCGTCCCAGGCAGCAGGGCAACAGGCCTCTCAGGGCAGCAAGGTAGAAGGCTGCAGGTCTCGAAGGGCAGCAGGGCAGCAGGCCTCACATGCGATCAGGGAAGCAGGGCTTCAAGTCTCTCAGTGCAACAAGGCCGCAGGCGTCTCAGGTCAGCAGGGTAGCGGGCCTCACAGGGCAGCAGGGCTGCAGGCATCACATGGCAGCAGGGCAGCAGGGCTGCAGGCATCAAAGGGCAGCAGAGCAGCCGGTGTCTCAGGACAGCTGGGTTGCAGGCCTCGCATGGCAGCAGGGCAGAGGCATCACATGGCAACAGGGCTGTAGCCCTCACAGGGCAGCAGGGCTGCAGGCATCTCAGGTCAGCAGGGCAGCCGGCCTCGCAGGGCAGCAGGGCAGCAAGCCTCACATTGCAGCAGGGCAGGAGGGCTGCAGGCCTCGCAGGGCAGCAGGGCAGAGGCCTCACGTGGCAGCAGGGCAACAGGTCTCACATGGCAGCAGGGCTGCAGGTATCGCAGGGAAGCAGGGCAGGAGGCGTCTCAGGTCAGCAGGGCTGCAGGCCTCTCAGGGCAGCAGGGTAGCAAGCCTCTCAGGGCAGCAGGGCTGAAGGGCTCGCCGGACAGCAGGGTTGCAGGCCTCACAGGGCAGCAGGGCAGCAAGCATCTCAGGACAGCAGGGCAGCAGGGCTAGAGGTCTCGAGTGCAGCAGGGCAACAGGCCTCGCAAGGCAGCATGGCAGCAGGCCTCACAGGGCAGTTGGGCAGCAGGCGTCTCAGGTTAACAGCGCCGTAGGCCTCCCAGGGCAACAGGGGAGCAGGGCAGCAGGGCAGCAGGCTTCGCATTGCAGTAGGGCTGCTGGCCTCGCAGGACAGCAGGGCTGCAGGCCTCGCAGGGCAGTAGGGCAGAGGCCTCACAGGGCTGCAGGGCAGCAGCCTCCAGGCCTCGCACGGCAGCAGGGAAGCAGGCCACTCAGGGCGGCTGGGTTGCAGGCCTCACAGGGCAGCAGGACAGAGGCCTCCCATGGCAGCAGGTCAACAGGTCTCCCAGGGCAGCAGGGCTACAGGGCTGCAGGTCTCACAGGGCAGCAGGGCAGCAGGCGACTCAGGGGAACACCGCTGTAGGCCTCCTAAGGCAGCAGGGCAGCAGGCCTCTCAAGGCAGCAGGGCTGCAGGGCTGTAGGGCTCACAGGGCAGCATGTTTTCAGGCTTCTCAGGGTAGCAAGGCTGCAGGAATCGCAGGGGAGCAGGGCAGCCTGATTCCCAGGGCTGCAGGGCAGAAGGGCAGCAGGCATCTCAGGGCAGCAGGGCTGCAGGCCATGCAGGGCAGCAGGGCAGCAGGACACCAGGCGTCTCAGGGCAGCAAGGCTGCAGGACTCGCTGGGCAGCAGGGCTGTAGGCCTCGCGGGGCAGCTGGCCAGCAGGCCTCACATGGAAGTCGGCCAGCAGGGCTGTAGGCCTAACACGGCAGCAGGGCAACAGGTGTCTCAGGGCAGCAGGGCTGCAGGCCTCGCAGGGCAGCAGGGCAGAGGCCTCACATGGAAGCAGGGCAGCAGGGCTGCAGGCATCTCAGGGCAGCAGGGCTTCAGGCATCACAGGGCAGCATGGCAGCAGGGCTCCCAGGGCAGCAGGACTCGCAGGGCAGCAGGGCAACAGGCGTCTCAGGGCATCGGGGCTGCACGCCTTGCAGGGCAGCAGGCAGCAGGCCTCATATGGCAGCAGGGCACCAGGGCTGAGGCCTCACAGGGCAGCAGGGCTGCAGGGCTCGCAGGGCAGCAGGGCTGCAGGCATCGCCGGGCAGAAGGGCAGCAGGGCTGAGTCCTCACAGGGCAGCACGGCATCAGGGTTCTCAGGTCAGCAGGGCTGCAGGGCTCACAGGGCAGCATGTTTTCAGGCCTCTCAGGGCAGCAGGGCAGCAGGTGTCTCAGGGCAGCAGCACTGCAGGCCTCGCAGGGCAGCAGGGCTGCAGGGCTCGCAGGGCAGCAGGGCAGAGGCCTCACATGGAGCAGGGCTACAGGCCTCGCAGGGCAGCAGGGTGCAGGCCTCACATGGCAGCAGGGCAGCAGGGCAGCAGGCATCTCTGGGCAGCAGGGCAGCAGGCCTGGCAGGGCGGCAGGGCAGCAGGGCAGCAGGTTTCGCAGGGCAGCAGTGCAGCAGGGTTGCAGGCCTCGAAGGGCATCAGGGCCGAGGCCTCACGTGACAGCAGGGCAGCAGGTCTGGCAGGTCAGCAGGGCAGGCCCTCCGCGAAGCAGGCCACCCTCGCCCTCTAAGCATTGGGAGGCTCCTGAGCTGGCCCCGCAGGGCCTCCCCGGGGCAGGGCTGGCCACGACACCCTGGGGTCTGAGTGCCCCGGGCCTCTGCAGTCCCAGGCCCCGCCCCCCCCCCCCCACCTGAGGCAACCATGGTGGGGCTGTATGGCCTCCGCCTCTGGAAGGTGGGCCCCGCCCCCTCCCCCGCCCCTCCCCCTGTCCCTCCCCCCTCCCCCCCCCGCTGGTGGGCGGGGCTGCACAGGCCCCCGTGGGCGGCTTTGTGACCCCTTAGCACGTGCACGTGGGTGCACCGCTCAGAGGCTCAGTGTGTGCTTGACCTGGAGAGGAGTCAGACGCCTTGGAGACCCTGTCCAAGGCCTTCCGCTCCAACCTCCGACCCTGGCGCACAGCTAGCCCTGAATGGGCCATTTATTTTCCAAGTTTCTTCGCCCTCCCCGCCGCCGGCCCCTGCCCCGCCGGAGTCGCCCGCTGGTCACTCCTGCCTGTGACACCGCCCATGCTGGCCGCGACCACCCTGCCGCTCCTGCACCTGCCGCCTGCTCTGGGCGCAGGCCGTTCCAGCGGGCTCGCAGGCCTGTACCAGCTCGCTGCCACGGGGAGCCCGGGAGGCGGCATCCGCTCCCCCAGGCCGCGGGCCCCCCTCTGGGCCTCCTCCCCGCGGTGAGCTGGAGGAGCCCTCCGGGTGGCCGTGCGCTGCCTGCGCGCAGTTCCCTGGTGCTCCGGCCCTCGAGGACTGCGAGGATCCCTCCTCCCGTGCGCAAGGTCGCTCTCCTGCATTCACTACCTGCGCAGGTAGCCAGGGCTGCGAGTCAGGTACCATGCCCGCCCCTCCCCGCTTCGATCCCACAGGGCATGGAGGAGGAGGTCCCAGAGCACCCCGCAGGACAGAGGGAGGCTCCTGCAGAGGCCAAAGGGCCGGATGGTGGGAGTGGCCGCCCCCACAGCCGCGGGGATACACAGGGGACATCCGAGCGCCCGGAGACCAGTGGCGTTCTCAGCCTCCACCGAGCCAGCCCTGCACCTCTGGACCGACGCCTCGTCCCCTCAGGAGAGAGCTCGTGGCACAGCACCCAGATGTCTCCGGTGTCCTCCTCGGAAGGCCGTGCGGCCACCTCTTCATGCGGTCCCGCGGGAGATGGCCTCGGGAAGGCCGACAGGGATGCGGCGGTGCTCCCGGGCCCACGCCCATGCTGCCCCTTGCCGCAGGAGACATCCGCGGAGGAGGCGGCGACTGAAAACCATCAGCCCGTCCAGAGCGTGCGGGACGCATCGAGGAAGGACCCGCAGGCTGAGGAGCCCTCAGGCGTCTCACCCCGGAGCCGTGGCCCGCCAGCACCTGCCAGCAGCGGGCGAAACAAAAGGAAACTGGGCATGCCCCTCTGTCTGCCATTGCCGCCGCCACTACCGCTGCTGTGGGATCGAGGGGACGTGCCCCCACCCCCTAAGCTTCCTTGCGTTGCTGTTGACAAGGACCTAGGCACCGTGCAGAACACCGAGCGTCCGAGGAACAGGGCCTTGAAGGGCAGAACAAAGACCTTGGCCGACTGCCGGGCCGCTCAGCCTGCCCCTGCCTGCCCCCCGCTGGCCTGGGACACCGCAGGCTCCGCGCCCCTGGCCGCTCCCGCTGCCCAGGTCCCTGTGCCTCCCACCGCCGCGGCCGAGCCTTCTGCCGGGCCCCCGATCCTATCTGTCCCTCCGTCTTCCCCAACACAACAGGGTGGCCCGGAAACAGGACACGGAGGTCCTAAATCTCCTCCTCTTGCTGTTCCTGCTGATTCTCTTCCTCCGCTTACTTCCAGTCCCACTGGGGAAACTCCCCCTCGGGGAGGCCCTCTTCCACCAGGCAGCGCTGCAGCACCTGCCTCTGACCGCCCCCCACCTCCTAACACCTCAACCCCCTTACACCCAGCCTCCTGCACGAAAGAATCCCCAGCCCCTATGTGTGTGGACTCTCCCCCGCTCTCCCGGACAACCCCTCGTCCAGGCCACTGCACAGATAGCTCCGTCGGTGTAGTCCAGCCTGGCACCTCTAAGCCGACGTCTTCTACCATCGCAGCAAAGTCATCTACTCTGACCCCCAAGCCTATTTCAAACCCTGGTGTCGTGGACATGGACACTACGCCTCCTTCCCGGGCTGTCATCTTCAGCACGTCCCCGCACTGCAGGATGAGCTGTCCTCCGTTTTCGCGGGGCCGTGGCAGTACGACGCAGAGATGCCCTGCGAAAGTCGCAGCATCCACCAGTCCACCGACATCGGTGGCCCCCGGCCCCACCCCACTTCTTCATCAACTCTTCGGCCTCCAGGTCACCCCTCAGCCCACACATGGGACTCTGGCTGGGAGGCAGCAAACAGCTTTTCTTCCCAGTGCTCCTATCGCCACTGGCTTGCCCAACCTCAGTTCTGGAGCCACCACCACTCCAGTAGGCAGCACCTCTGCAAACCTCAACGCTCACTCTGACCCCGATGCCATGGATACCACATCTCCCTCCCGGGCTGTCGTCTTTCACTCCCACCCTGGGTCCCAGAAGAACCATTTGTCATTTTACAAGGCACTTCCTGGTTCTGGCAACACACCACCTTCGAGCAGCACTGCCTTGGCCCACGGCTCTACCAATTTACCTCAAAAGTCAGCCAGCATACAGACCCCCGTTCCGAAGCACTCTAACGCAGGAATGGCCTCTCAGCCCACAATTGGAGGTCACAGTGGGCAACAGCCTAACAATTCCTACCTGTTAGGGAAAACAGTAGCCCCAACACAGGCTGTCGGCCTGGCCCCTCCTATAACTCACCCACCCGGAGGCAGCACAATGCAGGCAGCTTTCGCGGGCTCTCCTTTTGGCACCAATGTCAACAAGCAGACGGCCTTTGGTAACCAGCCAGGTATTCTCCACACTCCTCACTCTACCACCACTGGCTTTCGAGGTCCGACTGGGAACACTAGCTCATCACTCACAGCTACAATGACGGGAACACAGAGCTTTGTGTGGTCTGTAGTCCCCAGTGGCCCACCCCTCACGGTTAACACCACAGGCCCACAGACCTTTGTGTGGTCTGTAGTCCCCAGTGGCCCACCCCTCACGGTTAACACCACAGGCCCACAGACCTTTGTGTGGTCTGTAGTCCCCAGTGGCCCACCCCTCACGGTTAACACCACAGCCCACAAACCTTTGTGGGGCCTGCAGTCCCTGCTACCACTACTTGCCCACAGACCTTTGTGGGGCCTGCAGTCCCTGCAACCACTACTTGCCCACAGACCTTTGTGGGGCCTGCAGTCCCTGCAACCACTACTTGCCCACAGACCTTTGTGGGGCCTACAGTCCCTGCAACCACTACTTGCCCACAGACCTTTGTGGGGCCTGCAGTCCCTGCTACCAGTACAGGCCAACAGACCTTTGTGGGGCCTACAGTCCCTGCTACCACTACTTGCCCACAGACCTTTGTGGGGCCTACAGTCCCTGCAACCACTACTTGCCTACAGACCTTTGTGGGGCCTGCAGTCCCTGCTACCACTACAGGCCCTAAGACCTTTGTGGGGCCTACAGTCCCTGCAACCACTACTTGCCCACAGACCTTTGTGGGGCCTACAGTCCCTGCAACCACTACTTGCCCACAGACCTTTGTGGGGCCTACAGTCCCTGCTACCACTACAGGCCAACAGACCTTTGTGGGGACTACAGTCCCCCGTGGCCCACCCCTCACGGTTAACACCACAGCCCCACAAACCTTTGTGGGGCCTGCAGTCCCTGCTACCACTACTTGCCCACAGACCTTTGTGGGGCCTGCAGTCCCTGCAACCACTACTTGCCCACAGACCTTTGTGGGGCCTACAGTCCCTGCAACCACTACTTGCCCACAGACCTTTGTGGGGCCTACAGTCCCTGCAACCACTACTTGCCCACAGACCTTTGTGGGGCCTGCAGTCCCTGCTACCAGTACAGGCCAACAGACCTTTGTGGGGCCTACAGTCCCTGCTACCACTACTTGCCCACAGACCTTTGTGGGGCCTACAGTCCCTGCAACCACTACTTGCCTACAGACCTTTGTGGGGCCTGCAGTCCCTGCTACCACTACAGGCCAACAGACCTTTGTGGGGCCTACAGTCCCTGCTACCACTACTTGCCCACAGACCTTTGTGGGGCCTACAGTCCCTGCAACCACTACTTGCCCACAGACCTTTGTTGGGCCTACAGTCCCTGCAACCACTACTTGCCCACAGACCTTTGTGGGGCCTACAGTCCCTGCAACCACTACTTGCCCACAGACCTTTGTGGGGCCTACAGTCCCTGCTACCACTACAGGCCAACAGACCTTTGTGGGGACTACAGTCCCCCGTGGCCCACCCCTCACGGTTAACACCACAGGCCCACAGACCTTTGTGGGGCCTGCAGTCCCTTCTACCACTACTTGCCCAAAGGCCTTTGTTGGGCCTACAGTCCCTGCAACCACTACTGTCTTAAAGAGCACCAGGGCCTTGCCTGGCCACACGACCTCAGCTGTAGTTGCAAGCACCAGCACCGAGATATCAGTGCTTCGATGCACTTCTAGTTCTACCTTCCTGCCAGGCACGCGGGGCCCACCTGCCCAGCGTGTGAGTGGTGTGAAGGAAGGGAACAACATCACTCCCAAGACTGGAAGACCTGGAATTCCTGCTTTATGTCAGCATAATGGGGGCCCACCTGATGCAAACACAGATGAAACCCTCATCGTGTCTATGATGGCAGCCCTCTGTATCAGCAACCGCCCTCGGAACCCTGGGGGCCTACCTGTCTCTAAGGCAACTGGTGCTACGGGGAACAGCACCATACCTGCTGTGACTGGACCAAATAGTGGTCCCCCATTCCTACAGAGCACACAGAACCCCCCAAGCCACAGCACTGGTGGTGCCATGGGGGATACCACCATGCATCTTAGAGAGAACTCTCTACTCTCGGAACACGTGGACCTGCCCCTAGTCAGGGCACCCCTCTGACTTTGGTGAGCCAGCACTGTGTGTGCAAGTTCTTGGTCCACTGTTCTGTGCTCTGGGCGTGGCTAGGCTACCTTCATAACCTGTCTAGAAACCGCCACCCACTGGTTCCTTCCTTTTGTCATGAATCTCAACATAAACGGAACAGATACTCCTCCACATATTATATGGAACAGTAAATGGGTTTTGCTGTATCAGAGCCTCAATGGGCACTTATCTGTCCCAGATTACGTAGATATACTTCTACATCTATAAAACTTTGTTCTTACTAATCTGCCTTTGCTCGTGTGTCTTTTTGTCTCGGCAGTAGAGAAAGAATTAACCGATGTGAGTGTGGTGGGTTGAACCAGACTTTATGCCAAGGTTTCTGCATCTCAGTGACTGGAATGTGGAAGTAGCCACAGGTTCTGGCTGCACGCACAGACCCCTGAAATGTGCATTTTGAGTGTAAGGGATGGGAATCCAGGAGGAAGGAAGGTCCAAAGGAGGGAGAGATGAGGTGACTCGTCCTTGCCTCTACCCTCTGTGCTTCGCTCTCCTCTCCCCCGACTCTGACCTCAGTAGAGGTTGAATAACCCTTGATGGGTGCAAGGAAACCACCCTGTGATTTTAGTTTTTAAGAATGTTTAAATGTTTTCTTGGGTGCCTTCTTAGGTTAGACTTAGGCCAATCTTTCTTACACATTCCCACTTCACCCAGAGGAGACAGATTTGAGCCCGGAGAAACAAGTGGAAAAAGAGTACATGCATGCCTGCTCTGGAAGTGTTAGGAATGTCAGTTTATTTAGAACTTATTGTGCCGCTTAAGCGCAGTAGAACAGATCCCTTTCGATAAGCAGCCCAGCTCTGATCTAAATCACCAAAATATCAGATCACCTGTGTTATTATTCCCGGTTCTGGCTGACCCTAAACTTTTCTGGATCTCCACTAGACTTAATAGAGGCAAAATTGCTGACTTTGTGGGGCTTGCATTCTAGTTGGAGGGGAGAAACATACATCCGTGTCGACGATCTGGTAGGTTAGTCACTCACAACCCCTGTGGAAAACCAAGTAGCATACGGAGCATTGAGGCTGTAGGCAGAGAGGAGCGCAGCTTTCGATTTTAACAGTGGACAGGATAAGCCTCACTAGAAAGTGGGATTTGATCAGGCTAGAGGGAGGGAACGAATCAAATATCTGAGGGAAAAGCGTTGTAAATAGTTGGAATAATCACTGCAAAGACCCATAAGAAGGGTACCGGACACCCTCAGGGAGCAGTTACAAACTAATGTGGGTGGCTGGCATAGGGTCAGCAAAGGGAGGAAAGAGAAGACGTGGGTTGAATACTCTGCACCATTTACTGGCTGTGCGGTGACAAATGGTAGACCAACCTTCAAGAGTCTCCGTGGACTCAGTGCTTTCTCCGTGGCCTATTTACGTTGCAAGAGTTTTGGAAGGCTAAAATAAGTAACTTATAACCCATGTTGTTGTTATTCTATAAATAAGGGTAGATCCACAGAGGATAGGTAGGTAGGTAGGTAGGTAGGTAGGTAGATAAGGAAGAGGATATACAGAGAGAGAGAGGATGGGGATCGGGCATGTACATATATGTGCATGCTAATGAGCTCCTTAGGCCAGTAGTGCTTGCCTTGCCTTCAGCAGGCCTTTCAAAAAGGAGATCCCATGGAACAGGGCTGAGATCAGCCCCGTAAAAACAAAGAACACCAGGGCACAGAGGCTGCTGGACCCCTCCGGGCACCCTCTGCCCGATCCATTTACTCTAAGTTGTTTATTACAGTCCCAGAGGATCAAAGTTCCTGCTCCCTGGCTGCAAAGAACTGCCTACCCTTTGTAGGCAGAACTGCCTCTCAGAAGCAGGGTTGAAATCCAGTTTGCTTCTAATAGTCCTGCACCCTCTCTCAGCCCTGTCTGCTAATGTTACCAGGGACAACTTTTAAAACTTCGTACTTCTTGACTTTTTTTTTTTTAAGCCTTCAAGCTAAAAGCAATGCCCTGAATAAGGCAAATATTTAACAAACATGTGGTAGAGGTAAAGATGATTTTGAATATCATGTTTTGATGCACTTACACAGTAGAAGCAATTTCTAAGGAGACATTTTATTTTTATGCAAATAATACACGAGCCTAATAGCAACTTGAATGATAGGGAAATGCAGCCCTTCCCCTCAAGGTCCCCTCTCCAGAGTCAGTTTCTTGCTACTTTGATGTCACCCCCATAATTCTAAACGTTATGCTTATCCTGCTGTATCATGACATACTCATTTCAGACCATGTTTTTACCACTCTAACATGATGGAGGAAGATAAACTCCACTCCCACTGTTTTCCCTCCCTCTTCCTTTCCAAACATCGCATTCAATTCATTTGCTGCTTCCCTGTTGTACCTTCATGTAACTGCGCTGGGTTTATTGGTGAAGGAAGGGGTAGCAAAGGGCTAAAAGCTGTGGTTCTGATGATGCACCACTTGAATTAGAATCACAACCTATCTTGTGGGGTTGCTTATGATAATGCAAATAGCAACGTACTTCAGCCTTTAGTGTCTAACAGACAGGACAGCTCAAGAAATATGAACAATTATTTATTTCTTGTGTTACCTACCTTCGCCCTAATCTCGTGATTTTTCTCTATGCATGAGCCTGTGTGCCATGGCTCCTCTGCCTTGCCTTTCCCCTTGCATAACTAACTCACTTGACTCACTTTTTATCAATAACATGTTTGCTTTTGTTTGTGCTGTTAGTATTCACATGTTTCCATACAATTGTAGCAAAGCGTTCTGTGTTTTATCCACAGCTTGGCTCTAAGGGCTGAAAACCAACAGCCTGTATTGACTAAGTATTGCTTAGTCCTGGGGAAAATAATGCGGTAGGATTATCTTTTCTACTCTGTCAGTAGAGCACTGCTACTTGTCTTTACTATTCCTTGTTTAAAATCAAGCTCTGTTTTAGTTTGCTTGATATTTCATCTACTATTTTCTCATGCATTTTAAATGATTTTTCCCAAAATTTGAATTGTTTCCCTCTTTTTTAAATCCTTGCACTGCTCCCTCGCTCATTAATAATTTTATTTTCTATTTTTAAGATTTATTTATTTGACAGAGAGAGAGAGAACATGGTAGGCAGAGGGAAAGGGAGAAGCAGGCTCCCTGCTGAGCAAGGAGCCTGGTTCGGGACTCAATCCCAGGACCCCAAGATCATGACCTGACTGAAGGCAATGCTTCATGGACGGAGCCACTCAGGTGCCCTAAAATATTTATTTTCAAACTCAGTAGAGTTTGCTTGTCCAGGTCTCCTGATTTCCTAGAACCCTTTGCCCCTCCCCTTCTCAGTTTGGAAGATACAAGATCGCAGGGCAGCAGGGCAGCTGGCTCTCAGGATACCAGGGCTGCAGGCCTCGCAGGGCAGCAGGGCAGCAGACCTCTCAGGGCAGCAGGGCTGCAGCCTTGCAAGGCAGCAGGACAGCAGGGCTGCAGGCATCGCAGGGCAGCAGGGCAGCAGGTGACTCAGGGCAGCAGGGCAGGAGGCCTCTTGGGGAAGCAGGGCAGCAGGCCTCTCAGGGCAGCTGGTTGCAGGACTTGCATGGTAGCAGGGCAGAGGCCTCACATGGCAACAGGGCTGTAGCCCTCAGGGCAGCAGGGCAGCAGGCCTCACATGGCAGCAGGGAAGCAGCACTTCAAGCCTCGCAGGGAAGCAGGGCTGCAGGCCTCGCAGGGTAGCAGAGCAGCAGGTCTCACATGGCAGCAGGGCACCAGGGCTGCAGGCATCGAAGGGCAGCAGAGCAGCAGGTGTCTCAGGGCAGCAGGGCTGCAGGCCTCCAGGGCAGCACGGTAGCAGGGCTGCAGGTCTTGCCAGGGCAACAGGGTAGCAGGCACCTCAGGTCAGTAATGCTGCAGGCCTCTCATGGCAGCAGGGCAGAGGCCTCACATGTTAGCAGGGCTGCAGGCCTCCGAGGGCAGCAGGGCAACTGTCCTCACATGGCAGCAGGGCAGTAGGGCTGCAGGCATCGAGGGGCAGCAGAGCAGCAGGCCTCCTAGGGCCGCAGGGCTCACAGTGCAGCAGGGCAGCAGGGCTGCAGGCTTTGCAGTGCAGCAGGGCAGCAGGCCTCACATGGCAGCAGGACAGGAGGGCTCCAGGCCTCGCAAGGCAGCAGGGCAGCAGGCATCTCAGGGCAGCAGGGCGGCAGGCTTCACATGGATGCAGGGCAACAGGGCTGGAGGTCTCGAGCGCAGCAGGGCAGCAGGCATCTCAGGGCAGCAGGGCGGCAGGCTTCACATGGCAGCAGGGCAGCATGTTTACAGGCATCGCAGGGAGCAGAGCAGCAGGCCTCGCAGGGCAGCAGGACAGCAGGTCTCTCAGGGCAGCAGTGCAACAGGCATCTCAGGGAAGTAATGCAGCAGGCCTCGCAGGGCAGCAGGGCAGCGGGCGTCTCAGGGCAGCTGGGTTGCAGGCCTTGAATGGCAGCAGGGAAGAGGCCTCACATGGCAGCAGGGAAGCAGCGCTTCAAGCCTCACAGGGCAGCAGGGCAGCAGGCCTCACAAGGGAGCAGGGCAGCAGGGCAGCAAGCGTCTCAGGTCAGCAGGGCTGCAGGGCTCGCAGGGCAGCAGGGCACCCGGCGTCGCAGGGCAACAGGGCTGCAGGCATCGCAGGGCAGCAGGGTAGCAGGGCAACAGGCGTGTCAGGTTAGCAGCGCCGTAGGCCTCCCAGAGCAAAAGGCAGCAGGCCTCACATGGCAGCAGGGCAGCAGGTCTGAGGCATTGCAGGGCAGCAGAGCAGATGGCTTCTCAGGTCGGCAGGGCCTGCAGGCCTCGCAGGGCAGCAGGGTAGCAGGCCTCTCAGGGAAGCAGGGCTGCAGGGCTGCAGGCCTCGTGAGCAGCAGGACACCAGGCATCTCAGGGCAGCAAGGCTGCAGGCCTCGCAGGGCAGCCGAGCAGCAGGCCTCACATGGCAGCAGGGCAACAGGGTGCAGGCCTCGCAGGGCAGCAGGGCAGCAGGTGTCTCAGGTCAACAGC